TCATCTTATCATTTTCCTGGTCCAGCCTTTGCAATAAGCAAGCCACTTCTCCAAGGAGCTCTGATTTCTTTTAGCAGAAAATGGTATTTAGAAAACAAGATCTGGGTGCTATGTGTGATCATTGCTACTGAAGTGACATTGCTTCTAGGTCCTCTCAGCAGACAGTTAGGAAATATATGTAGAAGTGCATGTATGTGTGTGTGTGTATTTATTTCTCTAGCTATCTATCTAAATGTTTATAAATACACAGAAACACATTTACATCTATATTTATTTTTATGTTAAAAGCCATGACTTCTCATTGATACCTCCAATTCCAATCCAATACCACAAGGTTCATTATATGTTTTTTCCCTTACCATATTGGTAACTCTTTTCTCTGACAGTGCACACAAAACCTGGCTTCAGTTATCCTTAATAATTTGATTCAGCCCCTTGTATGTAATTAATCTGCATTTCCTCCACTACCCGTTACTCGATGGAGATGCCCTCTTAACCCCACTTTGGCTTCAACACCTGACATCAGGCCATCCCTCTGCATGGACGCCCTCCTCATCCTTCTTGGCTGCTGACATCCCATACCAGGCTATCTTTCTGTGGGGATGCCCATTACATCCCATTAAGTCTCTGATGTTGCACACTGCCCACCCCACTCCCCCTCCACAGTGTGGATGTCCTCTTAACGCCACATGGGTTTTGACATTCTACGCAAGGCCACCCATCTTGGGATGCCTTCTACACCCTGCCCTGCTCAGGCTCTGACCCCTCAATGCCAGACTGCCCCTCTTCCCACATGGATGCTTTTCTTACACTGCTTGAGCTCTGATACCCCACATCAAGCAGCCTCTCCCTGGAGACATCATCTTTTGTTTGGGCTCAAACACCCCTCTCTAGACTGCTTACTCACTTGTATGAAAACCATTCTCCTCCCACTTGGACTCTTACATCCTACGCCAAGAAGTCTCTTTCCTTCATGGACCCCTCTTTTTACTCTTCTTGGATCTGATACCCTATGCCAGGCCTTACCCCTGCATGCCCAGCCTCTGACACCTTGCTTTAGGTTGCCACTTTACTGCATGGATGTACTCTTCACCTTGCTCAGCACCTGCCGTCCTGTATGGGGCTCCCTGCCATCATGCACACCATTCTTACTCCTCTTGGGCTCTGATACTGCATGCCAAGTTTCACCTCTGAGTGAATGCCTTCCTCACTCTGCTCAGTTCTGACTTGACATGCTGAGTTGTGCTCCAGTGTGGACATACTCCTAAGCCCACCTAGGCTGGGACATCACATGCCAGGCCACCTCTCCCTGTTGACATCTTCCTCATTCCACTTGGGCTCTGACATCCCATCATCAGGCCATCCTCTCTTCAAGGGGCTCTGATTCCCCACCCCAAGCATCCCTCCTCACTCCATGTGCATGCTTTCTTCACCATCCTTGGACTCTGATAGTCCAAGAGAGAACACTTCTCCTTGGGGATGCTCTTCTCACCCTGCCCTGGCTGTGACTCCCCACACTGGACTTCCATCTAGAATGAACACTCTCCTAACCCTATTTTAGCACCAGAACCCCGTGCCAGGTCACCCCTCTGCATGAACTCCTTCCTTTCTTCATTTCAGCTTTGACACTACATGCCAGACTGCTTCCATGTGTGATGACCTCCATCTGCGTAGGTGCCCTCCACACCCTGCTTAGGCTTCATAACCCTATGCCATGCCTTCTTGACCCCACTCAGGCTCTACCGCCCTGCCCTCCATGATGCCTTCCTTGCTTTGCCCCCACCTGATGGCTTTTAGACTGAATTGCTCAGGGATGGGAGGGAGGAGAAAGTGCATCAATACATTGTTTAATGCCTTGGTGAGGGAAGTGTCCTATGTGTCCTCCAGGAGGTATGGTTAGGGGGTAGCTAAGCAGTTTGCAAGTAAATCTATTCTATTATATCCATTTCCCTGAACTTCTGGATTCCTTCTTCTACAGGATTTTAGAGAAATTCAGGCATTTTGACTTCAATGACTGCAAGCTGTCATGGAGTCCGGGCTTTGACTAACCAATTTAATAGACCATTACAACACATCTCAATGCTTCAGCCAACACTTTCAATTTTGAATTCTGGATGAGTAAGTACATCAGTGAATCCGACACCATTAAGTCTTACATTTCTTCCCCTCCGGTCAGCACTTTTAGAACTCACTTCCATACATGCATCCTGTGCTCCTTGGCAGTATAGACTGCTGAGGTCTAGAGTCTCTTGGGGAATAGGCAGGCTCTCTCCTGGATCAGGCCTTGTACCGCTCTAATTTGTGCTGTGTTAGGAATCTAACTCTCCTTATGGACTTGGAGCAGATGAGAATGTGGATCCAGCTAAACACTAATTTGTCTGGCAATGTCCCCAGGGGCGTTTATTGAAAGGGTTGTATGCAGAGGAGGCCTTGTTCCCTGGGTGTGTGTGTGGAGGTGGGGTTGGGCGAATGAGGGAGTACTGCCTTGGTTTCTCAGCAAGTGGGGATTGGAAAAGCTATGCATATTTTATGTTAATAAATTATCTCTTTTTCTTATTTCCCTTTCCTTGCTTCCTTGATAAAGAGTATGGTGGTGGCTAAATGTTATAAGTTAGGTTCCAGATAGGAATATCATTGAATCAGTATCACCTCATGCTGATATAGTAGCTCATAGATTTTGTGTCCCCTCTGTGTTGGAGATGGTATTTTTTTTGCACAAAGGACAGAAATGGCTTCGAATGACAGAAGAGGTAGACCGTGCTGATTATTCTTTGCCCTGTACCCCCATTCAATTTCTATTCTTCGTAGCCCTGCTTTGTTTCCTAGGACATTTACCCCTGCAGACTATATTCTTGGCTCTCTTGCCTGCTGGCTTATAGTTGGGTTTGGTAAAGGGGTGGAAATGGTAAGAGATCAGATAGTGGAAAGAAAGGGGGGCCAAGGTATTCCTTCCCCGCTCCTTCCCTGTTCTGACACTGCATCTCTGGCAATAGTTGCATCTCTGTAGACTAGAACATCTACTGGGCTCCTCCTCCTCATGGTTCCAGCATTCACTGGGCTCTGGGAAGTCTGTTACTTCCTTCGACCCCTTGGCTCTAGGGGTGATAACAGTTTCCCACTCCTACTTCACTCTCCCTTGTTTCTTCCTGTAACCCTGACCATTCACTGTAAATAGTCTTTTCGCAAACTTATTCATCTGAACCATCTAGAGTGAACTATTTTCCTTCCAAGGCCCTGCTGATAAAAGTCTCTTCATATCTTCATCCTTCGCCTTATCTCCATGCTTTTAAATAACAATAATACTGGTAGTAGAAAACTCACTTGAGTGTTTTTCTGTACACTTTTTGGGCTGTTTTCCAGTACTTGGAGATTGAGCACCAGGAAAATAAAAATGACTCATCTAGAAAGGTTACCTTTTTCAATAAGAAGTTTAAAAAATATACATGGTCATGATGAAAAATTTAGGAAACCACAAAGAGAGGGGGGGGGAGAGAAAACTTCCAGAGATAACCCCCATCGACATTTTGATGAATATCCTTTTAAACTAAGTTGCACACTTCTTTAAAACATCCACAATTCCTGAAGCAGTGCCAGCTTGAATTCTTGGGCTTTTGGAATTTTCACAAGTGCCCTGTCTGTGGTAGGGTGTATAAAGCAGGAGCAATTGAAGAAAAGCGAAGCACAGCAGAGGAGGAGGCAGACCTGGGGTGGTTTCATGGTACCGCCCCTTTCTGGACTGTCACATTTGTTGCACTGGATGGACCCCGCCCACACTAAGTCCTGCTGGGCTAGGCTGGGCTGGGCTTGTGTGCTCTCTGGGAGGGGCTGCCTTCCCGAGTTCTCACACTCAGAGGAATCTAAGCCAGAAGCACGGGTAAATAAGCTACAGCCGCACAGCTGGCTGCACAAAGCTCCTTTGCAATACATGGAACCCTCTAGAGCCTAAGGCAGCCCAGAGAGAGAAGTTAAGAACCAATCAATTCTCCAGCAGCCCTGAAAATGTTAATCTCAAATTGACTGCAGAACACAGATATGTTCCCACAGGGCAGAATCTAATCTTATTGTGGGTAATAACTTCAATCTTCAAAACTGGAGCTTTTTTCTAGATGTCAAGGTCATTTTGTTTGCCCTCAGAATCCGAAGAGCCAAAAATTCCTGCTATTTGATTCTGATGTCTCCTCAAAAGAAATGACACTATGTATGTGTAGAACATCTTGTCCGTATCCCCTGCATTTGCTTTTCCACTGCCCAATGTTATGCTGACCCCAAATAATCAAGCTTTTTCTCATCAAGTTTATAAATTAGGCTGATAAAACAGACCCTGGAATGGAGGAATCTGCACAGGCAGAGATGTACACAGAGTGGAGGCTACGCTAAGCTAGCTGATTGGTGCTGATGCATGTTTTTTTATTTTCCCTGGAGGATGCCCCAGCTGATTATTTGTCTCACTGCTTCAGAGCTAGCTGAAGTGTCAACTTTCTACCAGTTTCCTCCTCTGGACAGTCAGCAGTGGCAACGGAAGGATGGAATTTTGACATTGTCCCTTGCTTTTTCTTTCTTTCTTGTTCTATTATTCTTTAAGGCCCTAGTTTCACTCTAAAATGATCCTGTTGTGATTTTTTAAGACTTAAATAAAGAGATAGCATATGAAAAATTAGGTTTTCTTTGACGAGCAAAAGAAAGATGTGAAAAATGTGACACAGGCCAACCATAGGACCCATAGCACAGAGGGAAACAATCTTATTTTAAAAAGAAGACCACTTTTCACTTTAACTCCACTAGTCAAGTATCTTTTATTCAGAAATCTTGTTGTATCTTTTCAGTTCATGCTGAGGTGAGATCATTGTTAAATTTACTGAGCTTCAAATAGAAAGGTATCTGGGAAGGGTGGACTCTCAGTAAACTTGTTTGTTTACTCAAAATGAGTGCCAGGACTCAACAAACTTGCTGAAGCTCCCTAGTGACTACCTGCACTTCTAATTGCAGTTTATTTTTGTCAGGCTTTATTCCCATATACCCTTGGCTACACATTAAAAACAGCCTCAAGATTATCAAGCAGGAGTGTAAAGAGAACCACAAGGAGAATTTTAGAAGAAAGAAGCAGGGATTAAACCCAGGTGAAGAGATGTGCAGACAGTCGCTCCTTGTAAGTCTGAAGACAGAAATTTTGAATTGCATTATCTAAAAGGAATGGCAACAGCAAGGCAGGTGGAGATGTGACCTCAAAATCCTTGAAGATGAAACTTGTGATATTAGAGGAGGTATTGTTAAGCAGAGTTGGGGAGTGGCTAGTAATGCAGGTTATGGTGTGAAATGGTCAGACAATATGCTACCGCATCAGCAAAAACTGTCCTTTGCATCAGGGCATGTTGATGCTTGAGTAACTGAGGCATTATAAGGCAGGCACCATCCTATTATAGTGACCACCATCCTTATGGAGCTTTATATAGGACGCTAGAGCAGTCTTCAGTGGTGTTCTTAAACAACAGAAAAGTTGCATGATCCACGCTTTCCTCTGATTCTGGTCCATGCAAGTCACTTCCTGTAAGGGAAGGACTAATTTAGCAATGATATAACAGGTTCCATAGAACGTACTCCTGTGATTGTCATCTAGAGTATTAAGATTACTTCCCACTTTACGAATGAGGGGAGGGTAATATTGATGAGAACCCCAAGGGGATAGAAAGGGCAGCAGCACTTTTGTAAAGAGGGAAGAGCAGACTGAATCCTGGGGACCTTTGGCTAGGGAGTGGGTCTGGGTCTGAGAAAGGCCTGTATGTGGGATACAGCACATCTGTCATAGCCTATTGTTATCATAATCAAACTTTATCATTTTGCAAATGAGAAACCAAGGAACAGTGAGGCAAATGCCACAGCCATTTTTTCAAGTACACCTCATTAATTGAATGGGTTTATATCTTTTGATTCCCAGCTCAAGCATGATCCTGTTGGACTACAGTGCCCCTAACAGAAATACACCAAAGAAAGATGGTCCTACTCAAGTGTGAAGAATCAAAGAGTTAACTAGACTTGGAGTGGATCCCAAACTACTTTTTCCTTTTTAAGTTTGACTGAAGCAAACTAGATGTTGAAAGAATGAGAAGATATCTTCTGCCTTGAGAATTTGATTTTTATGTGCGTTGAGAACCGAAGCATCCTAGCATGGTGTAATAGAAGGGCATTGGATATAAGTACTTATTTCTTCATTTGGCATTAATGTGTGACCTAATTCTCGGAGACACAGTTTCCTCATCTGTAAAGTGGAGATAGTAACGGTGCCTAATTTATATTGCTATTGTGAAGATTAAAAGACATAATGCATGTAAAGCACTTTATACAGTATTTGGCATATGGAAATAGCTCAACAAATGTTCATTGGTCTTTCTTTTTCCACTTGTACAGAAGCTGGTCTAGTGCACTTAGCCTGGGTCAAAAATCATGGCTCTAAAGAGTTCTCTGAATTAGTTAAAGCCCTTTGGGCTGTATGTAGGATGGCTCATCTCTCTGTAAGTATATTCCCAAATATGGGTTTTAGCGTACATTCAGATGTGGTTTTGCTCATCCAGCAAAACCCTAGACCACAAGAACTTTATTTTTATGATTCCTTTTCCTCCTCATTATTATCTTAGACTCCAGAAGACAGGGCTGAATTTCACAGGCATCTCTGTAATTCAGGTTAAGAGACATAAGGCTAGAAAGTCCATCATAGCTGGACTTTGGGCTTTGCTTGCCCTCGGGCAGGGTTTCTTAGCCTCCACAATACTGACATTTTCATCTGGATACTTCTCTGTTGCGTGTGGGGTGCTGTACTGTGCACTACAGGATGTTTAGCAGCATCCCTGGCCTCTACCCACCAGAATGCCAGTAGCACCTCATCCCTCCCCTGAGTTGTGATGACCAAAAGTATCTCCAGACATTGCCAAGTGTCCCCTGGGGAGGGGGCAACTTTGTTTCCAGTTGAGAATGAGCCTTAGGAGAAATGAATCTGCTAGCTCTTTGGCACACAAACATCCTGTAGTATAGGCTAATGAAATCTTTAGGATTGATTGGAAATTTAAAAGGCAAATGATGAGTGAGTTCAGGCAGAGGAACAAGGAACAGTATGGATTTTGAAAAAGAACCATTTTATACGTCAGGCCTTATGGATAGAGAAATAAATAAAACATAGGTCCTGTTCTGGAGGAGCTCACATTTTAATGGGAGAGGCCACCACTTGAAAAATGAGAAAGCCATGGAGTGAGTGCTTTGTTGGAAAAAAATGGAAGTTGCTATGGGACAATGAGAGCCAGAGAATGGGCACCCATCATAGTGGGCTGCAGGGAAGGCTTTCCAGAAGACATCACATTTGAGCTGAAGAATGAGTAAGACAGCCTGGCAAAGATAAAGGGAGGATGGAAGAGACGTAAGAGAATTGGGGGTTTGGAGGGAAATGCAAATCATTTAGGTTGGCTGGGAGAGGAGTGCTCAAGAACAAGGAGTGGTGGAAGAGAGGGCTTGTCAGACAGATAAGCAGATCATGAAAGTCCCTCTAAGTCACATGAAAGACTCAATTCTGAGAACTATCAAGAGCCATTGAGTTTCTCCATTATGCTTCTTAGATTTAGGGAAGCTAGCTGCAGTGTGGAAAACAGATTGGAAGTAAGGCGACCAGTCAGGAGGCTATTATTGTAGTCCGGGGAGAGATGATTATAACTTGAGTTAGAGTAGTGGCAGTGGGAAGGAATTCAAGATCTATTTAGGTGATGAGAGCAGTAGGATTTGGGGACTAGTTAGGAATGAGGACAGTTTCTGGCTTGTGGTACTTGTCATGTTATTCACTAGTATGGAAGAGGTTTGGAAAGAAGATGAAGTTTAAGTTTGGCAAAGTTGAATTTGAAGTAGTTGTGATCATTGAGGTGGGGATATCTGGTCAGCATTAAATATATGAGTTTGATGATCAGGAGAAAATTTAGGGTAGAGATACAAGATTGAGAGTCATCAGGGGAAACTGAAGCTATGGAAATGGATGAGATTGTCCAAGGAGAATGTGTATACTGTAAAGAGATGAGGGCTCAGCTTATTCCTATGGCCTGGTTCTTCACTTCATTTGTGTCACATCCTCTGAGAGGCTTTCCTTGACAAATGTATGCAAAATATCACCCCATCACTCTATTCCTTTACCCTGTTTTTATTTAGTAACTCATTACTACCCCATATTAGGTTAGGTATATAACCCATTAGCTTTTTGGTTACTCTCAGATATTTACAATAGTTTGACTAACAGGCATTAAAAAGTTCAACCACTCAAAACCAAAATATCTATCTCACATTCAATTTAAAGCTTCTGTAGCCTCCAACCTCCAGTGCCGAAGGACTAGAGATGACACAGATCTCCAGTGAAGAAAGGTGACTTGGTCTGCTCTTTCACTCTCCTTGCTCCACTTCCTCCCCTACTTGCTCTGCTGCTTGGGCCTCCTCCAGTGTGTGTGGGGGAGGGTAGGTAGAAAGAGGGAGTCTTAAAGGGACAGCCCAAACTTAATTGACTGTGGCTGGTGTAATCTGGCTATCAGTGTCCTTTGTAATGCCTCAATACTGCCTTTTTTGTAATGTGCTTTTGTAATTTCTTCAGAGACTCCTTCACTCCCCATCCCCCTAGCGGACCTCATCTCTGCACCATTCCTGATGGGGACAATGTGTGCTCTGACTGTCCTGCCTGTCTCCCTCCTTGGCTCTTGCCTACACAACTTTCTTCTCATAGAATCCTCATTCTTGCTGCTGGAGTTGCCAGATACACTCTAAGAAAACTCCCTGGCCCACTGAAAACATGGTCCCTTGGAAGCCTAGACCTCTTTCTTTGCCCTGCTGCTGTGAACAACTTCAACCAGCCTCCTGCCTTCAGATTTCTTCAGGTAAAAGTCAAGCACAAGTTTCTATCTTCTTCGACACCACAGGACACATGTGAAGTTCTCCCATGAACTCTTCCTGCTTCAGTGGCAACACAGGCAGGCCTAAAAATTTCTGTTGTGCAGAAGACTTCAGCCTGGGAGTAAGATGCCAGTTTCCCCTCTTGAAAGGTTTAACTGGGACCGGTTGGCTTGGCTTGAGCAGGGGAAATGCAGTGCTTTCTGTTCCTATGAATTCCCCTCTAAAAATTCTCTTTCTTTTCCTCTAGTTAATCTCTAGAATTCTCCTATATGGAATGGAAATGACTGGTGAGTAATGATAATTGAAATACCAGTTTAGCTACCTCTTAGTAAGTCTTATTTAATGTGTTATTTATTACTGAGAAGCAATATAAAGTACTAGTTAAGAACATGGACTCTGGAACCATACTGTCTGGCTTCAGATCTCACCATTTGACTTCTCTGTGCCTCAGTTCCTTTATTTGTAAAATGGGAATAGTAATGGTATCTACATTACGGGATTTTTGTGAGGACTGAATGTGTGTGTGAGAGTCTTAGATTCATATTTTAGAGTAATAGCAAGTGCTATGTGTGTTTGCTATTAGTGCTACTGTTTATTTTTCTTTGACTTAGAACGTTAGCTCCATGTGTGCAAGATCTTTTTTTGTTTACTGCTGCATTCCCAGCTCTTAAAAACAGTTCATTTAACAGGCACTAGTAAATCTTAGTGCCCTCAGACTTCTCCTGAATAAATTAATGTGATATTTAAACTTTCAATGTTAAGGTATGGGCAGAGAATGTGGGGTCTGAGAAGAATAAGAAAGACAATGAAAGATAGGAGAACCAGGAGACTGCAGTGTTCCAAAAGCCATAGGAGAGGAGACTTTAAAAAGAAGAAATGGGCAACAGTGGCAAAAGAAAATAAAACAGATACGGCCATTAACTTTTGTAACAAGGCACCCCTATCTTTTGCTTTCATATCCTGGTAAGTAATGGTTTTCCTTCCTTCAGAGATACTTTTATTAGAATGAATGACCATTCAGATTCAAATCTTTGAATAGGTCTTAAAAGTCATCAACCTCCAAAAAACAAACCAGTCCTGCACTTACTTAGTTTTGGCCATGACCGCAAAGAACCCATCTTCAATACATTTCAGTACATTTTCCCTGACCTGGACTCTCCTCTTGAATGAAACAGCAAAACCTGCTATTAACATCTGCATACAACTCCATGCCACTCCTGCTAAGGATACCCTTCTCCCTTTTCCCTTCCCGTAATCCATCCCCTCTTTTCAAGAGTATGAGTAGTATATATAAAGAACCCTTACAACTCAGTAATGACAAATAACCCAACTTAGAAATGGACAAAGGATTTGAATAGGCATTTCTTCGAAGAAGATATACTAGTGGCTATTTAGTTCACAAAAAGATTGTCAACATCATTAGTTATTAGGGAAATGCAAATCAAAACTACAATGAGATACCACTTCACGCCCACTGGATGTCTAATTAAAAAAAATACAATAATAACCAGTGTTGTGGAGGATGTGGATAAATTGGAACCCTCATACCTTGCTGGTGAGGATGTAAAATGGTGCAGCCACTTTGGAAAGCAGTCTGGCTATTCTTCAAAAGATTAAACATAGAGTTATCATATGACCCAGCAATTCCACTCCTAAGTGTATACACAAGAGATTTGAAAACATATGTTTAAAAAATTCACACATGAATGTTTATATCAGCATTATTCATAATAGCCAAAGTGTGGAAACAACTCAAATATCTATCAGTTGATGAATGGAGAAGCAAAATGTGGCCTGTGCATACAGTGGAATACTATTCAGCCATAAAAAGAATGAAGAATAATTTGAGTGATGTCACCACAAATGATGGAGAACTGCAGGGCTCCTTGAATGGCTGTAATTATCTACTGAATAAAGTCCAAATTCTTTAACATGACTTACAAGACCTCTGAAGTTTTAATCCCTACCCATCTGTTATGGGTTGAATTACATCCTTCCCAAAATTCATTTGTTGAAGTCCTAAACTCCCAGTACCTCAGAATATGTCCTAATTTGGAAATTGGGTCATTGCAGATGTAATTAGTTAAGATGAGGTCACTATGATGGGCCCTAATGCAATACAATTGATGCATTTATAAAAAGGGGAATTTTGGACACAGGGACACATATACTAGGAGAATGCCATGTGAAGATGAAGGCAGAGATCAGGGTGATGCTTCTGTAAGCCAAAAAATGCCAAAGACTGCCAACAGACCACCAGTAGCTAGGAAAGAGGAACAGATGTTTTTTTTTCCCTCATGGCTCTAAGAAAGAACTAACTACAAAGACACGTTGATCTTGGACTTCAAGCCTCCAGAACTGAGACACTCACTTTGTGGTACCTTGTTACCACAGCCTTAGCAAATTAATACACCATCTTTCTAGCTTCATCTCTGATCACTTTTTCCTTACACTTTATGCTCCAGCAACACCAACTTCCTTGTACTTCCTTTGCATAGACCTCATGTTTCCCACATTTGTGTTTTTGCCTATGCTGTTCTTTTGCCTGAAATACCCTTTTTGGTCTAGGTAATTCTTACTCATTTTTTAAGTTTCAGAGAAGCTATTACTTTTCGCAGAGACTCTTCACTGATCACTGCCCACCAGTCTGGTTCAAGTGGCCTTCCTTGGTGCTCCCACATATCCTGTGCATCTCCCCAGCTCTGCACTTTCCACATCATATTATAACATTATGTTTATGGTTTGTCTGCCTCCCCTCAGCCCATGTGATAAACTGTGAACTCCTTGAGGAAAGGGTCACCAAAATATCAGTGCCTAGTATGGTATACTTTGCATGTAGTAGATGCTCAATACATATCTTTGAATAAAAGGGTGTGCTCTCAATATTTACTCATCTTCTTTCTTCCCATAGCATCTGCTAAAGTGCTTCACATGCAATGAGTGCTTAGTACATCTTGACCGGTGGTTCTCAACTGAGGACATTTGGCAATATCTGGAGACATTTTTGGTCATCACTACTGACATCTAGTGAGTAGAGGCCAGAGATGCCGCTAAACATCCTACAGTGCACAGGACAGCCCTTCCCTCCCCACTTCCCATCCCACACCCCTCCTCCCCGGCCAACAACAAAGCATTAACTGGTCCAAAAGGTCAATAGTGTAGAGGTGGATAAACCCTGATCTTGCCTGAATAAGAGACTGAATCTACTTTTTACATGCTATGCTTACTGTAGACCACTAGTGCACTACATTTGCTTTGTCAGGAAGCCTGTTTTTCCTTTTTTTTTTTTATTAACAAAAGTAAGCTTATCCAGCCAGACATGGAGTGTCCTGGAAACCAGAATTAAGACTTTGGCAACTGAGATGTACCGGATCGACAGGAGAATAGATATATAAGTTATAATACTTTTATGCCTGGAATGCTCTCTAGCAGTGAAAATGAATGAATTAAAGCTACAGGGATACATTTCCTAAGCATAATGTTGAGTGAGGATAGCAAATTGCAGAAGGTACATACAGAGTGATACGACTTATGTACAGTACTCTATATTGTTTAGGGATAGACATATATGTAGTAAATGTAGAAATATATACATGGAAATGATCAAGATCAAATCCGGGACAGTGAAAACCTCAGGATCGAGGTGTTACAGAAGGCTTCTATTGCATTGACAATGCCTTATTTCTTAAGCTCAGTAGTGGGCATATTCTTGTTATATTATTTTTATACAGTTATATATTTTTGAAATATTTAATACTTTTAAAAGAGAATGATTGTGCAATACTGAGGCATCCTGTTACTTAGGGCTGGGGAAAATCTCCATCTTATTAGTTTGCACTAGCCAGAACTAACATGGTAAAAATCAAACAACCCATTAAATCCGATCATTCAGTATGGGACAGGAGTTTATGTATTCTCCATAGGATAATCATAAATTCCTGTTTCCATTGTTGCAGCTGGTTACTGTCTGGGTTTGCTTGCATTGGACCCCTCACAATATTTGGCAGAAGAATTAGAGCACAGCATCCTTGTGGCAAACAAGGAGAATCAAACAGAAATGGGCAGCAGTTTGCAGAACATAGAATCTGTGTAAACAGGCACTAACTTTGTTTTGCTTCATCATTTATGTTTATCTCTGTGTGTCTGTAGCTAGTTCAGTGAGACTGTCTTAGAGTAAATGAGTCAGATCCCACTTTCTCTTCAATGAGGTAGACCTTGGAGAGTGAGAAACTGTACGTATAGAAGGAAGTAAAAACATTAAATAATATCTGGAAATTTTGCTGAGGAATGAGAGGATTGGACTAAAAATTTTCTGAAGTCCCTTCTGGCTCAGGGTGTTTCCAGTTCTGCCAAGGACCACCTGTAAAGAAGGACTGGGGAAGTGCTTGGTCTGAGTTCCCACAGGCCAGGTCAGGGAGGGGAACACATTCAAAGCCCAGGCCTGAGCAGAGGGGGCCCTGAGGGCTGAGTTGGCAAAGCTGGACAGAACAAAAGGACTTCCTTTTTGAAGTGACTTCTTCACACTTCAGGCTGTGGGCGGGGTGTTGAAGGGCGAAAGTATGGAAGGAAACTCTGGGTAGAGCCTGGGAGCTGAATTTTACTGTTTTGTCGGCTAGAATTAAAATGATTTTTTCTTTTTCTTTTAAGATTTTTCAAAAAAAATTATATCATCAAAACCATATTTGCTAATAAGAAAGTTGAAAAATACAAAAACAGAGGAGGAAAACAAAAAATTTGTTTAGTTCCGCCACCCAGAGATAGCCACTGTTAATATTTTGCATGTTTCTTTCTAGTCTTTTTCCATGCATATCTGCTCATTTTCACTAATTGTTGTGATCATGTATTAATGTTGTATATTACTTTCAAACAATATTAGAGCATAAGCATTTTCCTGTCATTATGAACTATGTGCAAATATCATTTTTATTGTCTGTATAATATTCCATTATATGACTATACTGTAATTTGATTAACCATTGAAGCATTGTGTTTTTTCCTAGTATTTTATTATTCTAAGTAATACCGGGGTTAACATCATTGTACAAAAAGATTGTGTACATCTCTGTTTCCTTAGGAAACATTCATTCATTATACAACTATTAGGGAGGGCTAACTATGTGCCAGCTACTATGCTAGGTGATAAGTTTCTGCCTTGGGTGGGATGTTGTCATTTACTAAGATAAGAAACACTGGAGGAGGAGCAAATTTAAGAGAAAAGATGGTGGGTTCATCTTTGGAAGTGCTGAGATTGAGGTGCCTGCAAGAAGTCACATGGAGATGTCAAGAAAGCAGAGCTCAGTGAAGAGGTCTAGATAGAGCTATAAAATTACAGTCATGGCCATATAGATGGTAATTAATACCAAATGAGTGAAAGATCAGTTAGGGGCAGAGTATATGTAGCCTAGTCCTGAGAATGTCTGGCTTTCCGAGGTTAGATAGCAGAAGTGGAATCTACAAAGGAGACTGAAGAGAGGGCAAAGGGGTAGGAGGAAAAACAAAAGAGTATGGCATCATAGATGCCTCAGGAAAACTTTCAAGGGGGAGGAAATGGTTAACAGTGTAAAATGTAGGGGAGAGGTCAAGCAAAATAAGGAGTGAAAATGCCTTTATCTGTCTATCTACTATCTATCTATTTATACAGATTTTTTGAAACGGGGTCATTGGTTGGGTATCTTGTTGAGCACAGTTTCAGTGGAGTGTTGGTGGAAGGAAGCCAAATTGCTGAGTAAGAAGTAAGGGAATGCAGATTGCAAATGTACCTGTAAAGTACATTTTCAGTAAATTTGCCCATAAAGAGGAGCTGGAGAGGTACCTAGTGTGTAGGGAGGATATTTTTTTTAAAGATGGCAGAGACTTGAGCATATTTAATTGCTGATGACAGATCAGAGGAACTTGAGTGTGGTTAATGGCTGATGCTAAGAATGGAGGGAGACAGAGGGAGGGAGAGGAATCTATAATTACTGGGTAGATATAAACATTTAATAGTCTATTGATATAGATTGCTCACATACTTTCTAAAAGGGTTTTTAACCAACATACACTCCTACTACCAATTATGAGAAAGCTTGTTTGGTGGCTACTTTATCATTAAGTGTTATAAAAACAAACAAACAAAAACCTTTGCCGAAGAATTTCATTATTCTACTTTGCTCTTCTTTGATTACTAGTGAGTTGACTGTTTAAACCAGTTGTGTTGGTGTGTGAATTTAGTCTATGTCCTTTGCCCAAAACGTTTCTATTTTAGACAGAGACTTTTATTTGCCATAAAAGGCTGAAAGTCAAAGGATCAGAATGGTATCATATTTTATCTTCCCAAATTATACGGTCTAGAGTCTTCATCTTAGAAGTACACAATTTGACAACTTTTGGCTCAGCGGAGCGGAAAAGAAAGATGATGTATCATCTGAGAGAGACTCCCATCCTCAGTCCTCAAGCTCCCTTTGCTAAACTGGGACGGCATTCCCCCAGTGCCTTAAGGCTCTGGCTCCCAGAGTCCCCCTTGGGGTGGGGCGGCCCCCTACCGAGGAGCCCGGAGCGCCAAGCGGCCCCTTTAAGAGTCCAGCTCCTCCCCGCTCCAGGGAAAGTTGCAGCTTTTTCCGCCTCCCAGGAGGGTGAGAAGAGCCGGCGGCCGGAGCAGGGTTGCGATCTTCCCGGAGCCCGAGACCCTCCCCTGAATCTGGCACTGGGACGTCTCGCCCTCTCGTGGTACCTGTTGCAGGTAACAGGTAGGTCCGTGGTCCGCGACCGCCCCTCCGCCCTCCGTCCCGACGCCTCCTGTGCCCCTAGTCCCTTTTCGCTGCCTAAGCGCCCCCACCCCCATCTCGGGAATCTGCGCCCTTCCCTCCCCGCCCTTCCGCTCTCCCAGTCTTGCTTTCTCCCCAGCTGACCCCCTGTCCCCTCTCCCCGTCCACCTTCGTGGACCGACCCCCCCCCCACGCTTTGACTCCCGTCTGCTAGGGCGGTCCCTCCCCGCCACTTTGCTTTCTCCCGGGCACCCCCTGGCCCCCTTCTCCGGCCCATCGGCCGCCGCCGCAGTCTGTGCCCCTCGGGGCTCTGCCTCCTCCCGAGTGCCCGGCTTTTCCCGCCCTTCGGAGCCGGGGCCCTTCCCGAGAGCCTGCCCCGGGGGCGGGGGTGAAGCCGAGTTCCTAGCGGGAACTGCGCCCTCCCGGGCGTCGAGTCACCTTTTCGGCAGTGCCTCTCGCAGCGTCCGGCCATCGCGCGGGGTCTCGGCCCCGCACTGCTTTTGAACCTGGGACCACGCGGCGTCGCCTTCCCTGGCTTTATCTTGCCACCGTTCCAGCAGGGTGCGGGGGAGGGGGGCTGCTCCTGGAACGGGGTCCCCAGAGCTCTCTGGAGGGGCACAGAACTCTTCTGTCTTCTGTGATGGTTTGTAAACGTAAAGGGGCGGAAGAGATATGTCTCTAGCCCTTAACCTGAAATAAAGCGGTTGGGTTTTTTGGTGGTGAAACCATTTGGTTAGAATTTTGGTGACTTGAACAGGTGATCTGTTTCTCATCAACCAACCTTTTATTCCCCCAGTACCCTGCCTGCTTCTTCAGGACCAGAGGACCTAGCATTCCAAAATACTGCTTTCGACTGGATTGACCCTGGACCTTGTACGTTTGTGCCAGAAATTAGTTTTCAGAATACATCTTGTACCTCCTGTTTTTAAGTGGCTTCTTTTCTGTTCTTTCAGCTCCCGGCCCCCACCCCTCATAAGCCCATTAATATTAAGGTGTTAATGATGTTAAGTGTTTACCTGCTAGTCTGTGGAGAGAACAATGTTTTATGCAAAGAGTTGAGGCCCTAATGAAGTTTTCTGCTATAGTCGTAGTTGCTGTTTTTTTTAAAGCACCTGGTGGAAATCCTAGTAGAAAAAGACCACCAACTCACCAACATGGCTTGTGAGACTTTTCCTGGCAGAGGATGAACATTTCTGGTAGCACAATTTCAGGTGCCTCACTCTAGGTCAGAGTAGTGAAATGGAGTTTGGAGGCCCGTTCCTGGATAGGTGGCCTGTGAGTGTATGTGGTTGATGTATCTGGTTGATGCTCTCTGAGCTTTCCCCCTTAAAGGCTGCTACTAATAACGGCTGTTAGGGTCCATTGAGCCAGGCACGCGATAAATTCTTTGCATAATTATCTCACATAACCCTAATGATAACTCTGTGTGCTCGGCACTACAATTATAAGCATGCGATGATGGAAAGGAGACTCTGAGAGTTTAAGTGCTTCGCCTCAAATCACCCAACTGATGAGGGGTGGAGCTGGGCCATCTGACTGCACAGCTGTGTTCTTATCCCATCACATCAGCTCTTTTGTCTTAGATGTTGGGAACATGGAATAGCTCACAGGTGAGGACTAAGTGATTAAACATTTCCCTTCCAAGCTGAAGCATAAGTTTTGGTCCTTCCCTCCACCTCAGAGGCACTGGGGAGACTGTGGACCGGTTACCTCACTGATGTCTTTCTTACTTCACTTCCAACACGGGGCCAGTTGCCGCGTTGCCGCTATAAGCACACACCCTTGGGTGTACCTGGTTGAATGAAACCTCTGGGGCTTTCAGCTCAGTAGGAATTGTCCTGAAGTTAGGAGAGGGTGACCCTGGATTCTAGGGATGTGCGCCTGACTCAACTTTTTCCTTTCTTGCCGGCTAGGGGGGAAATGAAGGTGTGGAAAGTGATAAGGATTTCTCAGTAGCCTGGCCAGAGAGCCTGAGGGTGAATGTGTACTTGTTTTATCTTTAGATGGATGGAGTACCTTAGGCAGGGACACCAGTCCTCGAGAAAATGTCCTTCCTGATCCCACCTCTAGGTCTTTGCTGAAATTACTCCTTTTCTTTTCTTTTTTCCCTGAAAAGATAACTTGCCACCCATCCCCATTCTCCTGCCATTAATTCCTATTCGTCTCTCAAGATTTAGCCCTAAAGTCATCTCCTTTGAGAAACCTTATTGAACACACAATTCCTTCCCCTAAGCAGAATGACCAGTTATCCTGTGTGCTAAAGCACTTTGTTTACACTTCAGGAAAACCCCTTAACACCTATCTTAGTTGGTTTTCCATCTGGAAGGTTGTAAACTCTTTCAGGGCAAGGTCTGGATCTTGGAGCTCCCTTTATCTTGATCGCAAGAGATGAACAAATATTTGTGCTAGGAACTGGGGATACCATTCCTTCAAGGGCCTGAGGTCAGGTGATGGTGGGATTGAAGTGCAGAAGACACCTTTTTGAGGCACGTGAAGTCTGACAACTAGGAGTTTGTATTTAAATGTCACCTTAGTAAGGCTGTCCCTAACCACCCTATTTAAATTTATAACTTCTTCCCTGAACATTCTATATGCCCCTTCCCCACCTTAGTACTCTAGTGTAATATATTGTATATTTTATTCATTTTTCTTTCTTATTGTCTGTCCCTCTCCCCCCTCCATAATGTAAGTTCCATGCGGGCAGGGATTCCTGTCTTTTATTCTCCAGTGAACCCAGCATCCATCACAGAGCCTGGCACATCATAGGTGCTTGCTAATATTTGTTAATTGAAGTAATGAGTGACTTTACTGTTCTAGGAATTGGCACTCTTTTTTGCTCTCCTGGACCTAAGTGTCCCCAGTCTCCCCCAGGCCTGGTTCTCACGCAGCTTTGCTTTGGCGATTACATGCCTGATGACAACTTTGACCCAGTTGGAAGTACTTCCTCTCTCGTTTTTTTAAGGCATGGGTCTCCGGATGGAGACTTCTGGAGTTTAAAGTGGAGGTGTGAAGATGCTGCGCTTCTTGTGGGTAGGAAGGGGGTGCTGCACTAAGAGGAGGGGGTGTGGATTGTGAGATGTCTTGAGGCATTTTAGGTATTTGGCGAGCTCAGGAAGAAGCTGGAGAAAGTTGCTGTGTGATCGGGAAGTGAACAGCCCAAATATAAAAGATGCCAAACAAATCAAGCTTCTGGCCTCAAGTCACTCATAGCCTTTTAAGCATGAGGTTGTTATTGGGTTGTGAATTTTATGGAAAAGCCATTGCTGATTACTACTTGTGCAGTACTTGACTAGTTTTATGCTAGGAGAATCATACAATGTGAGAAGACCATTATGTAACAGAAGAGAAAAAAGTACTATTCTAGTTAAATTTTTTGAAATATTCAGAAAGAAAAATGAGGTTAGGATCTTTTAAAATACAGGCTTAGAAGGAGTTGAGCCCTTGCTACGGTGGTAAATATGTGATTCTCCAGCATTTGATGTATGTTAACTCTTTGAAACTCAAGTTTGTACAAAAAACTTCTGCTCAGCCTCCTCTTCTGTTCAGTTTATCCTCCCAATCTCTCAACAGTGGAGTGACCCAGGGCTCAATCCATGGACTTTTCTCTATTCAGAATCTTCCTAGAAGCACTCATCCAGCCCCATGGCTTTAAATACCATCTGTCTATAGACTCAGCATTCCTAAATTTATGTCTCTGACTCAAGTCTTTCTTCTAAGCTGCAGCCTCAGATATCCAATGGCCTATTCCACATTTCTTCTTGGATGTCAGATAGACATCTCAAACGAAACATGGCTGAAACAGAAGTCCCGATTCCCCTCAAGTCCCCAACCCCTTCCCTCAGCCTCCCCTATCTCAGTAAAATGGTACCATCCTCCATTCAGTTGCTCCAACCAAGAACCTAGAGTCACCCTTGATTCGTCTCATTCTCTCACCTTCTCCCCTCACCCAGTTCATCAGCAAGTCCCATCGACCTGAACTTCCAATCGTGCCACTGTATTCTGCCACATCTGCCTCTCCTCTGCCTATCACCCCGATCTGAGCCACCACAGGCTGTGATAAGCATCTTTGCCCAATGCTCAATGATGCATATAAATATAGATGCACACGGAAATATTTCTGTGGGATGGCTTTGTGGCAGGAGAATTGTTGGGTCAAAGGATATGTACATTTACAAATGTGAATAGGCATCGCAAAAGTGGCATCCAAGAGAATTTACACTAACGCCATTGACAGGGCTTTTCCTCGTGCCCTTGCTGAGGATGGACAGTCTTTTTAATTTTTTGCCAATCTGATAGGTGAAAAACAGTAACTGATTTAACTTTCCTTTCTCTGGTTACAAGAGAGGCTGAGTGTCTTTTCATGTGTGTTAGCTATTTGTATTTTTCCTGAGACTTGCTCCTTGATATCCTGCATATTTTTCTCTGGGGTTCCATATTTCATTTGTTTTTAAGAACACTAAATTTATCAGGGCTATCTACCCATTGCCTGTTATACAGTGCAAGTTTTTTCTCTCTAGTCTGTCATAGGTCATAACTTTGTCCGTGATGTGTACCCCTCTCGTAATCAGATAAAACATACTATAAAACATTTAAAAAACATGTTCATTAGATTTGGCAATTAGAAAGTCAATGACATTAGCGCAGCAGGAGGAGAGAAGGCAGACTGTAGAGGTTTGAGGAGTGAGCACTTAGAGGGGCTGATAAGGAATATGAATACATTTGGAAGAGGCTTGGCTGTGAAGGGAAGGAGAGTGTTTCCTATAGACAGAGGGCACAGGGGAGAAGGAAAGGTTGTTAATTTTGTTTCCTTTTAAATATAGGAGAGAGATGAGCCCATTTATGTGTAGATGGCACAGAGATCTTGATGATGCAAGGTTGCTGAGGAAGCAGGAGGGTGAGGGCTTCAGAGTGAAAGAGCTGGAAAGACTGGCCTTAGAGAAAGGAAAGTAGCTCTTGCATTGAGACCAGAGGGAAAGAAGGCAGGATTGGTAAAGCTGTGGAGAGGGACAGGACTGTGGAAGGATAGGATTTTGAGGGAGCTCCCATCCAATGAGAGTGGTGAGGGGTTGGAATAGCATTTGAGAGGAATGAATAGTGGAGCTCTTTAGAGGCAAATCATCCAGATTGCCACATCATAATGAGTCCAGAAAGGCTTGGACAACTTGAATTGTCTCCCCAACAAGTCTCAGAACCCTATATCCATTTTTTTCCAACAGCACCCATCAGCCCAGGTATGGAAACAGAGTGCAGATGATCTAGTTTGGGGGATTTTTCTGGGTTGTTGTGACAGAAATATGAGAGGGCAGGAGATTGGACAGTGCTGCCCGAATAGTTGAAATGATGAATCACTGTGGATTTCATATCTGTGTCTATCTAAACCTACCTTGAACTCGAGTAATTCACAAGAGATGGAAAATTTTCGTGGTATCTGCTTTGTTTCTTGATTATAGCTCTGTCAGTTCAGGCATCAGAATAGCTTTAGTATCAGCGTCTTTAAACTGTTGCTTGCAACTTACTAGAAAGTATGGATTGACATACTGACGGCCAACAGTGTGCCAGTTTCTAGGCTAGGTGCTCGAGATGTAATGGAGAAGAAGGTAGACGCTGGCCTTTTTTTTTTCTTTTTGGTGGAACTTAGTAGGGGAGGTATGTGTTAAACAATGTATCATAATCAATGATTTAATCGCAATTTTGGTAAGTTGTATGAAGTTCAGTTTTTCAGAAATCAAATCTAAATTTAAAACTGATTTACATTTGCCAACAAAGTATAAGAGAGTAATCCTTACATCCTCTCTTTTAAAAATTGAATATTGTCTTTAAAATATTGCTGAATTGATAGGCAAATATAAAAACATGTTTATTACCAGTAAGAG